ATATTATTCTCTTTTTTTTTGTTTACTCTTATGAGAACGCGGAGTGTAATTATTTATTGAAAAAATAATGAATACCATACCACGAGATAACTTTTTTCCATTAATTGTTATTTTAACAATAGCTTGCTTAGATTTTTTATTTAAAATATGTTTCTTTTTTAAATCAAATATTTCATATGATATAAGCTTTATCTTTATGAAATCAATAATATATTGATTTTTGTGAATGTACGCGTCTCCTTGAAGAAAATATATTTTTTCCTAATAATTATTGTACTATCTAAAGTACAGCTAGTAATTGTTTAAAACATTTTGTATTTGTTTTAATTTTTCAAATCTACTATTTTTCCAAACTCTATTATGAATTTAAAAGTTTTCATGTGTTCGCGTGTTTTCGTGTTTCATGGAATAGTTCGCAATGGAGGCTCGACGAAGGCCATATCTTTGCGATAATTTCGACAAGAATAATATAGAAGATGGCTCGGTTTAAGAGTTGGTAATAGCTCTCGGTAATAAGAGTCGTCCCACTCGCAGTAGCACAGTATAGCAGACATTTATGTATATACAAGTTGCTAGGAAAGTACATGTAGATGCATGTATATACATATATACGATGGCTTATACGTTTGCGATCAGTCACGTAGTGACGGTGCAACGACAGAAGTAGGGTAAGGTAGGGTCGCTATGCAAAGTGCGGAAACAATAAGCTTTACGACCTACCATGTGATACACGATGCTGCTACGCCCTAAAGCAACCCGAGGCGCGGCAAGTGTCGTAGGATTCTGCAGGACCTGCACGCGCAAACGCGTATCCATTTTGTAAAATACACAGTCCCAGTTGAAGCTTTCCTCATTCTCTTTTTCATTTTTTGTCTCTCTCTCTCTCTCTCTCTCTCTCTCTCTCTCTCTTTCGATAGTGCTTCCTCGATTAGTTCGCCCACGAGTTTCCTCGAGATCGAAAACTAACTTGGAAATAACAGGAGGCTATTTTCGATGACCTTAGCGTCGCTCAATTGGAGGTTTCGCCGCGAAATCCAATCGGCGAAAGTTCGATAAAGTTAATAATTGCCAGTAGAAGCCGTGGCGGTTACTATAAGGACACAAACTCGAGTAGAAGAAAAAATTTTAATTTTTGTCCCATCTCTCATGAAAGGTTAGTTTGCTTGTCTACGATTTTAGAGTATCTATTATATAATGTAAATGTAGCAAATTATTGTATTATTTTATTATTATTATTCTTTCCATATTATTCTCTCCAGCTAAGTCGAGTTTACATCTCTATTAGGCAGTCTGCAGTCCTGAGATTAAATGTTACGATATGTAATCAACTGAAAGTTACGTTGAAGACGGGGGGATTGGCCGAAATAAAAGAAAAAAAGCTCTTCGTAACTTCTGTCAATAGGTCCAGTAAACTTTTTCGTTAAATCGTTGTGGAATAGTGGAAACTTACAATGGAAAAACGACAAGGGCCAACGTCGTTGAGAAAGGTGATAAATCGAGCGCAGTGGGGTAGTGTCAGGTAAGGAAGAAAAGCGCCCTTAGAGATGCCGCAAGCTCGCGCGGTGAGCAAAGCGAGCCGTGTGTCGGGCAAGAACGAGCGGGGTATTTAAAGCGCATCTCTGTCGCGCCGTCGTCGTTGTTGGCGACAGAATGCTGCTTCTCTTTGAAGATTCATCGTCGATCGCCCTAGTTCCACATCGGCGAGCGAACCGACTCGTTTCAAGGTCGATGTCTTTCGTCCCCTTGCATTATTCTTGCATCCCTCACTTTCCTCACGGCTCTTTTTTCCCCCCCGCAACATCTCCATCTTCTATTCTACTCTCGCGCGACTCCCCTTTTTATCTTGGCTGTTAGTCTCTCACGTGTCCTTCCTCCATTGACATTTTTTCCTGTTTATCTTGCAGTACTCTTTACGGCGCAGTATCATGCGAGCAGGAAAGGTTCGTAACAAAATGCGAGAATGTTACTCTTAATCTTGAAACGCGCGGACAATATGAGAGCTATAGTCAAATGTTTACCTCGTAACAGTTAATATTGATTTCTGTTATACGAAATATTTATTCTTTCGTCAGATTAATGTTATTTTTCAATGTTTTTGATTTACAGATTCTATTATCTAATTTTTGCTTTTTTTTTCTTTTATAAAAAAATGTTAATTTCTTGACAAAGTACTGTGTATACTTAAACGGATGAAGTTCATGAAAAATTCAAATCTTGTCTTTAATAAAGAAAAGGTTAATGGCTTAAAAATAAACGACGCGTATCTTGTATATCGCGTGTGTCTTGCATAGTTTATTTATTTCTTACCTCACGTTCACTCTTCTCTTCGCTACTTTGTATAGAGAGAGCTTTATAATCCACGAAGATGCAAAGACCATCGTAACATGTTCGTCGTGCGATTTTAGAAATTTAAATCTCGGCTCTCTCTTCTGATGGGAGGGGAACTTTCATCGTTATTTTTAGCGTAGAATAATATTCGCACACTTGGTATCGAACAACAGTGTTGTTACAAATTAATTTCGCTTTTACGAAAATTGTTTGCGAAATTATTCGGAACATTTTTTTCACACGAATTTTTTACATTAGCATAATAGTCATGTTCGAAAATAAAGACTACTATTTATAAAAATATATATATATATAGCGTATATGTGATTATTACAAGATATATAGATACTTTCCGAGTTCGTTAAAATTTTAAATTATTCCGCGAATGGAATAAACAGTTTTGGGAAATTATATCGACGGTAATATGAATCGAATGAAGTTAAATAGGTTTTCGATCTGACTGCTGTTACAGAATAATGAATGAATCCATTCTTCGTAGTTTAATTTCCGCTTCCTGATTTTCTCATAGCTAAATGTGAAACGAAAATTGCATTGCGTTGCATCACAGGAGTAAAACTGTTTGACGCAATTTCATATCGCATTGCATTCAATGTTTACATCTTTTTTACGCACTCGTACTACATCCGCGAATTTCTTTATTCAGCTCTTATTACCTTATTGTCATTTTCCCTTTTCTCTCGTAACACGATCAAGGCTGAATGTATTATGATTATTGCTTTGCATCTCCCGACATGATGCGACACTGTGTTGCGTTTCCATCGTGAACTTTTGTCAATTATGTACCATTAATGTCGCGCATTACTGCCAGAGAGAACCGCGTCGCAGTCGCTCATTTTAGTAAACTACAACCACCACGCCCGGACTTCACCGCCAAGACGATCACTAGCCAAGCATGATAAAATACGGTTTGCGCATTGAATATTAACAAGCTGCAACAGATAATGACCTTTCATGAAATTTTCTCCGATGTAAAATTAATTCTAATTTTATTAACGATTCTGTTGTTAACATTCTTGATTAAAATAACGAGGATATGTTTAAATATATTTTTTTAAAAATCATTTGCATGTCGTAATTTACCGTATGCATAATAATGAAAATTTTCTATTACAATTGGATATTGATACTTTTATGGCAGAAAATAAATTTATGTTAATATTAAAATAATAAATAAAGTTAAAGGACTCTCTTATAAATAAATAATATGATCAAAGTAAAGGATAAATAAGAGTCAAATTAAACATTTTTAACATGTGTGATATAAAACGTTTAATATATAGACATATTTAAGATTAAAGAGATATAAATTTAATAATATGACATGTTTCGGCATGTCAATCAAAATTTCTTGTAGTTTTCATTGCGTTTATACCAAATGTTAAACATTCAAGGTTACTGCGATTATTTAAACACATCTGAAGCTAGCACAATCATAATGCCGATACATGTTATATTATTAAATTTATATCTTTGATCCTAAATATGTCTACATATTAAACGTTTTATATCACACATGTTAAAAATTGTAAATATCAAAATATTTATAAAATGTATGATAAAAAGTTGAGTGTTACACCATTTCATTGATGCTTGCAACATTCGACTAATGGGAAGCGATACATCATGTAATATTCAAATGTATCTGTGATCGTGACCGACATAATACAGGTGAAAGGGACGAGCAGCGCAAGAACAAGAGCGTGACGTTAAATAATCGTCGTGCTTCGGCGGTATAATCTCGTAAAGAGCACGTGAGCGGAAAAGCTACCCCGTTCTACGACGAAGGGGGTTGGGGAAAAGCGGCAGGGGGTTAGAGTGGCGGGGATTGGTGCACGCAGTAGCTGGTGGCACAATCTCCGGTAATGATTGGTAGTCATGGAAACGAGCCAAGCACCTACCTCGCCCTTTTTCCTCCGGGCAGACCGAGCGGCGTGATCGTCGCGGCGTGCGTCGCGACGCGAAGCGTCGTGTCGCGTCGCGTCACCTCACCTCGCCTCGCATCGCTGGTCTGCAATACGGCGCCGACGCCGGCAGGATCAGTATCGGCCTCGAGAGTCTCTGTACCCTGCAGCAAGGTTAATACTTTCGCCACGGAAAGAGACTCACGTGAAGTCTTTTATGTAAAATATTATCCTTGGCTGCGACAAATATTTGTGCTCTTCTCGAATTGTATTATTTAAAAAATATATATCTATTTATTAATTTTTTTATACTGAAAGACATTTCGTTATTAATTTACATATTATTTTAAAATGATTTATATTTCTATAATTTTGTTATAAATAGAATATAATTTACGATCTGTCGTAAGTACTTTCTGCCACGCTTTCTTCTGTCGTACTGATTATTTTATAAGAGTTGAATCTCTTAAAACTTTATGTGAAGATTTAGTAAGATAATAGCGTGGTATCAACGATAAGAAGACATAAAAGATTCTTGCAATCTCTTATGACTTGACTTTTATAATTCTTTCCGTATTGAAGCTAACATAATTTAGCGTTCTCGTTTGGATATAGAAAATTGGAGTTCACTTGACCTCAATTTCGAATGTTTAAGAAAGAGGCGATAATAATAATGTAACCGTTAATTATTTCTGACGACATACAGAGTTTCTTAATATTGTCAGCTGCACTGCACTTTTCTTTGGGACGATGGATCGCGATCGTGCTATTCAACGTAGGTTCGGTCTTACCGATTCAATGCAAAACCAATTATAGACGTACCGCTGATAATTTCTTACCGCTTTTATCTATATTAGAGAGAACAAATAACAACTGACAATTGCTTGTTGACGTCACGATGAACTGTAATTGTTTCTTTTTTGTCTTTACTTGTTTTCGTCTTTTGATTTCTTTTCAATTCACTCGTGAAAACGTACTTAATTCTTAATCGATAAGCTCGATTATCGAGGACTTTTTGAAGCAGGTAGACATTTATTTACAATGTTGCTCAATTCAACAATAGAAATGTAATTAAATTGATTTAATTTGAAAAAAAAACACAAGATATTAAAAGTCTCTATGCTAAGATGTAAGTTGCTCTTTAATGTAAAAAAGAAATTAAAGTACTATTTCAAATCGAGTCATCATCAGTGTATACAAATTTCGAACATTAATACAGTTAACGAGTATCATATCTTCCTAAATTATTTAAGTGAAATGGTATCAAATCCAACTTTAAACATGATTTCAAAAATCTAATTCTAATAATAGATGATACTTTTTTTTTATTTAACTTGATTTATATTTTTTTATATTTTCCATTGATTTTTCAAAGCTGAATTCTCTCTTTCCGCTTTAAAACGACAGTTGAAAAACGCCCTTCGAGCAATTTCCATGTCGTTTGAATGAAATCTTTTTTTCGCGGCGGCAACAAAATGCGTCGACGACCGTCGCGACGAGAGACAATAATAGAGTTTTGTATTAATTTCGTATCGATAAACGGAAGTCCCGTCGTTTGCGAAGAAACAACAATTTAGGTCTCTCGGCGAATGTTTGCTCGATGGATAAATCTGTAGTCGCTAATTTGTCACCTTAATTCACGATGTTACAGAACGCTCGGAGAAACTTTAGTAAACCAAAGTTTCCCCAGCGTCGTACACAACACGTTTTTCATGCATAGAAGAAAGAACGGCGCGAAGTGCGGGGGTGTAAGTGTGGGGTAAGATCGAGAAGATTTAGTTCTCGGATAACTAAGGGACGCCACGACTCTATAATGTGACTAAGGATTTCTGAGAATGGACTTTCCTCGCCTACAGGATTGCGAGCAGAATTGTTCCATTACAAACTCTGTTCTTTGTATGTACTTTGAAAATCCTGTTAATGAATACTTTTGACGTCACCGGCATGTAACCGCGATTGTTTTATTTTTAGCAACGCGAAGGTGTAAAGCGAATCATAGAATCTATTGATTTGACTAGGCTGTGACGTCATCATTTGGATCCTTTGAAAATTCAAGGATCGAATTAAATCGAGTAACTCGTACAACTTGAGTTCGAAGAATCTTCAGTGTTTTATCCTTTCGAAAAATTTGTTACCGTTTATCTTTCACTTTTCAATATAAAAATAAAAATATCATTTTTATATCATATTCGTAAGAAAAGTATCGGGCCTAGTATTAAATTTGTAAATATTTTCATCTCACAGTGGAAGTGGTGACAAAAGATATTTAAATAAATGTCTGATATAATAGTGTTGATATAACCGCGTTATATCAACACCGTTATATCAAACGTTGATTAAAAACAGATTTTACGATATTCCCACGCAGTATATATGTGATTTCGATGTGGAGCAATGGTTAATACAGCGTAATCTAATTCTTTATAATAAGAGTTTTACATTAGTTAGATCAGTAATTCAGCGGTTTCATTTATTTTAAAATATTTCACACATTAATGCTATTAAATATCATATAAATATCAATATTTGTCTTGCAAATATATAATTAATATCGATAATAGCGGGTAATAATTAATCAATTCATCCAATTATAAATATAGATTGTTGTTTAATGTATTAAATTTCCATAATGTTAGCATTTTATGAATTCCAAATCAGTTTTATTATAAAAATTAAAAAGAGTTAAGTTCGAAGCATATTTTTAAGAAATTTCGGTTAATATTCTCTCAATAATTATTATTAAATGCGTTTTATCAAAGTAGATATATGTATAGCTTAGATAAACATTTTGCAGTTATATTAACATATTCACGTAAAAACTCATAATTATCTACTTTAAACTTCTAGGCACTCGGATATTCTATTTTTGAATATTTCTACGGTTGGTAGTAGTTTCGATGTATGCAGTAAATTAGCGAGGACTTGTAACTCGTTTGTTATTCATAGTATTACGCTTTAATATTTCTACACTGTGCATCGTTACGGATATTTGTTTATGTTATCATCCTTCCGAATACCATTTACATTGCAACGTAATAATATATTTATTCTCTCGTGATTTCAGAGGTGCCTTCTCCGTGGTTCGACGATGTGTGCAAAAAAGCACCGGTCACGAGTTTGCTGCAAAAATTATAAACACCAAAAAACTCTCAAATAGAGGTAAGTGATCGTCACGTTTCAGACTTGAATCTGAAATACAATAAAATATTTTTCAAAAAAAAGAAAAAAAGAAAAAGTTATGCGCTCGTTTAGAATTACCGTTTCTCTCTCTCTCTCTCTCTCTCTCTCTCTCTCTCTTTACATGGTATAAATACGTACATATATGTAGTACAGATAGGTCGAAGACACAGAAAAGGAAGGTTCTTTTTCTCGAACGTTCTTTCCAACGTTCGAAACGTTTGAAACGTTTCCGAGGCAACAGCGTCCGTATCGTCATCGTAAATTTCCATTGCAAAAGAGCTGCTTTTGTGTCTTTATGCGGTCGTTTCTCTCGCATGGTTGCTCGATTGCAGAAAATATGCAACACACAGCAATATGCATATATATGTACATATAATACTTGGAACTGTTATCTTTTTATTATTTATCATATACCCCTTTGACATACGTCAATATCAAAATGTTGCAATTCTTCGTTACTTTGTTAATCGTTGTTGTTGTTTTTTTTACGCATATTGACAGCATAGAACATTCTAATGTGTTTGTATGTAAAATTTTATTTTAATCTTCTATTACTTTTTAAGTAGTAATGCTCTGTACGCTATAATGAGCTGTATGCTCATTTCTATTTATGTTTTTTTATGTAATTACTACAGTATTTCGAAACAAGAATAAGAACACAAAAATGTTTCTTTTTATTCCATCTTTTTATTTGTAATTTTTTAAATGATCTTTAAATATGCGATTCCGTTAAGATGTATGAACGGGTAAGGTGGTCAAAAACTTGCGTCATCAACTTGATCGAGTATAGCTATTTCCATTTTGTGTTTTTTTTTTGCGATTTCTTGTGATCGAGCATGGATTTATGATAAAAATTCGTACGACATGTCTAAAAGCAATAGTCATGCTACACGTCGCACCGTTGCGTTGTCACCCTGCCAGCGCATTCCTACACGGGACCAACGCAATTGCCAGTTTACCGTATAGCGAGATCGTTGGTCCGGAAAATTATACATATCAGCTCCTTTTGAAATTCAATCGTTTCTTCTACGCTTCTATACGTATCCGTAAGAAAGCAGTGCTTTCGAATGACGCGAGATGGAAAGGACAATTTCATTTCATTTCATTTATTGCAACAGCTGCAGCATAAAGTGAGACCGATTACATGATACGATATATATAATTGAGAGTTAGTCGAATTAAAATTCTTCATTTACAAATTAAATCATACATAAAGATTAGCGAATTAACGATTGAATACGCGAGTATCGACTTCCTTTTGTGTTTTCTTCTATAAGATAATTTTTTAAAAATTGATCTACTATATTGCGCGATATATGATATTCATGTTTCTATAAAAAAAATTATTGTCTTTACTATTCCTTTTTTTTACAAAACCAAACTTAACGTATATATTTACAAACACATGATTCGTAGATTGAGAACATAACCGTTCGAAATAATTACGCATAACAATCCTGTTCGTACGGTTAACATAGCATTGTTTTGATTACTCGATTGAACCATTTGACCCATGCAACGATGCGAACAATATCTAACACACTATTCTAATCCGAGTACAACGCAAATGTGGTCGCTATCGTTTCACATACACGTAAATGCATGCGGTTAACCATCGCGAAAGAAATTTCGTCGGAAGCATAATGTAATATTTATAGGTAGTTAAACAGTTGAATGACAATAACACATTAACTGCATATAATTGTGTTAATAGTATATAATATAGTATAATATATCTATATATATATACAGGGTGGGCCATTTTAATCTCCCCACCTGAATTTCTCGAAAACTAAATCCTGTAGACAAAAATGTTTCAAATAAAAATGGAACGGTATCGAGGGGGACACGTTTTAATCACGTTGTTTTTTTTCTAAGTGGAGGAGCTAAAAAGATATGAAGGTCACCTCCACTTTTTTAAATGGAATTATGTAATTTTTTTTAGATAACGTGATTTCTCTAATTATTTTGCATATAAAAGTATTAAGGTAGACATACCAAAAAACCAATAGTTTTCGACATATTTTACACTTCATTTTGATACATATTGACACAAAATGTTAAATAACTCGTAAACTGTTGACTTTTTGATTATCGTACCTTAATATTTTTGTGAACAGAATAATGAGATAAATCCAGTGGTATAAAAAAAACACATAGTTGCGTATTTAAAAAATTATCCATTTTGTATACATATTTTTTTTAAAGTAACTATGTGTTTTCTTTACACCATTTGATTTATCTCATTATTCTGTTCACAAAAGTATTAAGGTACGATAATCAAAAAGTCAACAGTTTACGAGTTATTTAACATTTTGTGTCAATATGTATCAAAATAAAGTGTAAAATATCTCGAAAACTATTGGTTTTTTGGTATCTCTACCTTAATACTTTTATATGCAAAATAATTAGAGGAATCACGTTATCTAAAAAAAATTACATAATTCCATTTAAAAAAGTGGAGGTGACCTTCATATCTTTTTAGCGCCTCCACTTAGAAAAAAAACAATGTGACTAAAATGTGTCCCCCTCGATACCGTTCCATTTTTATTTGAAACATTTTTGTCTACAGGATTTAGTTTTCGAGAAATTCAGGTGGGGAGATTAAAATAGCCCACCCTGTATATATATTTATTAATATTACCATACTTGTTAATATTACCATAAAATAGATCCGCAATAAAATAGACCATCAAATTTTAGCACAGTTTTTTTAACATCTTTCAGTGATAACAAAGAATCACAGTATTGAAATAAATAATACTTCAAATTAAAGCTTGTATGTCTCTTGACAACCAAGAAAATAAGAATTGAGTCATAAAAAATGTTTTACAATTTGATGGACGTCGTTTAAAGATGAACTTTGAAAAATAAAAAAAAAATGTTTTTTAAAACTATCATTGCACTCACACGGGAAGATCGATTGCCTGACAAAAATTTATGATTTTTTTAAATTCATTTATTTCTTAACGAATCCGTATTTTAAATATTTTTCTATATTTTTTCATAAAGTTACATCGTTTTGAAAATTACAAAACGGAGTTCTTTTTTTAAATCTCAATTCAGAAACGAATTATCGTAAGAAACTTTATTAAAAGGAATATTAATGTGTAAACTTTAAATATTAAATACGAAATATATATTAAATCTTAAATATTCAAACTTTTATATTTCTACGATAAGATAATGCGCAAAGAATATATGCTCTTTTAAAATGGAGAACGTTTACCGATAATAAACATGCATTATAGTTTAGACAAATGCAAAAATTGAACAATTAAGTAATCCTGAAAAAGTAATCTATTATATACAGAACATGCTTTTATCTCCAATTTCTTTTATAAAATATTATGCTATACAATAATTTTTTAAAGAGTTATTCAATTTTTTCTCAAAATTGAATAATTCACATTATCTTATTATTGGAAAAATAAGATTTTTTAAATTTAAAGTTTATTTTAATTTTCATTTCGATAACATTTTTTTACAATAACTTTTTCTGAGTTATAGATTTTATTTAAAAAAAAAAATCGTTTTATAACATTCTTTTATAACATATATACATATGTATGTATATAATTTTTTGGTTTGCATTTGTTTGTAAAATGCTTATATGCGGAAATAGTCCTGATCATATGTCTATTTTTTATTTTGATGATTTCACGATGAAAACGTAACTCTCTCAATACATGTAGCATAGTAACGATATATCGCTCTCACTCAGTGGATTCTTCTGGGCTGCCTCGTTTGATCAAGATTCAATTCCTATGCATTAAGAGAGAGAATATCGTAAAGAAAAGTCGCGTCTCATCTTCGTCGTGCCGAACGACTCGCGAGCACTCGGAATTGCATAATTTCCTCCCGCGATGCTGGCGCACTCGTTTCCGTCCTTCGCTTCCTTTCTCCCCCCCCCCTACGAGATAAATCTATCTTTGGCATCGCCGAGCCGAGCCGAGCCGAGGCGTGGTAAAAAGGTAAAAAGGTGTCAGGGTAAAAGAGTAAATCCTCCCTCTATTCCTTTTGTCCTTCTGCCGCTCTTCTCACCTGCATCTTTCTCTGTTTTATCATCTCTTCCTTTTCCCCCTCCCCGTCTCTCTTTCTATATCTCTCTTCGTCTACCTCCTCACCCTGTCCTTGTTCTTTCCTCTCGGACAAGAATCGTTCGCTCGTGCGAATCAGCTCAGACTACGACCTTGCTCCAGTAACCTCTTGACCTAACGGAGGCCGCCGCGGTCTCCGCAATATGGCGTACACGCTCTGCGCAACGAATAAAGCTCTCGTATCCTGGAAAGGAGAGGGAAGCGAATAGCGAGCTACAGGATCCAATCGTTGCGATGGAGTAGGAGGAATAGGAATTCCTCGATTTCCACGAATCGACTCCCGCTTGACTGTCATTTCCCATCATTTCCGATTCCGAGACACTGCGACCGAGTATGACACGTAACGACACGGTGCATTTTGTATTCTCTGACATGATCTGAGGGATCGAAGTCTTTCCATTTCTTTCGTGACGCATGTTGAAACGCACGTGCGATTGTTCTTTGCACACGCTACGAAATTATTCAGATATAATCCCGCGGAGACGAACAAGATTGATTCATTCGTTCGTTTATTAAGCGCTTTGTCCTCGCAACGAACGAAACCAATCAGTATAACTGAATTAATTGGCATGTATGTGCAGTGGATTCACGCACACGCGATCAAACATAAAGAAATGACGGATGATAAAAAATGCACTGCAATAATGATTTGCAATAAATTGCTCGACTATAGCGAACTGTTTATTTTATGACATTATTTTATAATGTAATTACATACTTATTGTTGTGTTAATTTAGCTTTTCATTTAATTATGGATATGTTTAATTTGTTTTTACTTTTGTTTACGTTAAATATAATAATAATAATAATTTTTTTTTAATAATTTCTCCAAGAATGACAGTCTCAGATTAACCATTTATTTTATAATGTATACATTTAATTGAAATATGTTTTGATAAAAAATAGAAACCGTGTCATAGATCATTTATGTGAAAAATTAATAAAAAGGCATACAGAGAGAATGTAACGTAATATATAATACATATAGTTGAATAGTTCTAAACTATCTAACAATAAGAGTTAGGCTAATATATATATATAATTTGTATTTATATCCGAATTAGATGCATTACGAATTGCTCGAGTATTTTTATTCAGAAGCAGAACAGCTAAATTGAACGAAATTTTTTTTATCGCCTGAAAATTATAATATTATATGGGACATATTTATTTGAGACTCATTTGAGCGGCTGAATTTCCGCCTCTTTTGGCGCGACGAATAATTAATCGAGCGATATGGGGTTGGGATTTCATTGGTGTCGCATCGCGATCATTTGAATTTCTAATTTGCGGTTTTGGTCCACAAAGAGAATCACGAGGAGGACTAAAGTCATGTTTCTTGACGTGCGCGCGCTAATACCCGCGTTTTCTTGTCTTTTCCTAATCTTTATCTTTATTTGTCTTTCACTAGAAATGTTCGACTCCACTTGATTAAGTTTTAATTATTTTTGTAGTTTATATTTACAGAGGAATGTCATATTATTTTGTTTTTAGGTAATATTTCTTAAACAAGAGCTAAAAGTAAATTTTTTTTAGAAATAAATAGTAAATACAAACTAGAAAGTCTTCGAACAGATAATAATAATTTTTATAATACTGCAATTTTGCAATAATTACCTTTTATAAGTAAGATAATTGTTTTACAATACAAGCCCCAAAAACTGACACAGTTACGCAGCAATACCAGATATTTTTGTTCTTTTTCTTTTAGAGAAGTCATCTGTACATAGTTGGAAAAAATGTGTTGAATTTAACATAAACCGCAAACGGTCTACTCAAAATTGTCGGGTTAATTTAATACTAGAATCTAGATGAACATGTTAAAAGGTTACAAAAATATTATGTAAGAGAATAAATACAAAAAAGATAATATCGAAACAGTTAGTAAATAAATCGTGGGAAGGATATTTTTTTTCAGAAAATAAATATTTATAATATGATAATTAACACGTATTTTATTCATTTGTCTTAGAATTTACGTTTTAAAACACATTATTTTTATGTTACTTGTCCATTCACTCATAAATTGTGTCATTTTGACACTAAGAAACGTTGAGTATCAATTTCACACAAAATCTTTAAATAACACGATCACATTTTTTTTACTATGTACAAAATTGTTGACGTATCTTAATATATAAGTAACGAAAATATGAAAAAGCTTCTATTCTTTGTTTGTCAATAGGAAAGCTATTTTTCTTACGGACTTTATAAGGAGGGGATGTTATATTCATTGCTGTCCGGAAAAATCATGAGGAAAAAATGCATCATTATCCCTGCATTACAGCCTTATCACGCACGATAGATCAAGGGTGCCTCGTACTTTCTCTGCACCGACTTGCGTAAGCTAGCGCGACTAATGGTGGTTTTTATAATTGACGCTCTCGTGACATTCGTGCTCTATTGGCTGGGAAGCGTTACATCGGGTGGATGCTTCCTAAGAATCGGCCTTGCGACAGAAACGATCAACCTTTCGTTAGGAGATGCTCTAAGGACGCGTACCGATATTCGTCTTTCCGACAGCACCTTTGTGAAACGTATGATTGCCGGAAAAGCAAAACTGATTGCGTGGAAATGCGATTTTTCTTCACCAGCATTCATGTAATTCACAATCACGAGATATTAATTTTCTTAAGTTCCCTTACAATAAATATCGATTGTGAAAATAATAATCAACAATTATACTTGTATATTAGTAACGATTTTATTTTGTGATTAATCGTTTGTATTCTTCGAACTTCCAATTAATTAGCTTTATTAAAATATATACATAAGAAAAATTCACACATGATAACTTTTTATACGCTGGCTGATTTGCATAGCATATAGATTTTTGCTTGGTCGCTTATTGTCAGTATGCATAATTTCTTATGAAAGATACATACACACTTGAGGATAGACTGCTGTCTATAATGAGATAAAAATAAAAAAATATATATTTTTCTAACGAGCCCGTTTACCATGTAACCTGTTGGAAATGATTCGCTCGAATAGCACGCGTACATGTACACGCGCGTACCTATATGTGTTGTGCGCTATCTTTCTCTCTCTCTTTTCTCTCTCTCTCTCTCTCTCTCTCTCTCTCTCTCTCACTGTTATTTTATCGCTTTTTATAGGTATAATGTTTTTTTTATAGATCATGTTAATTATTGGTTGGAGGTGAAGGTGATCACAAGAGCTGTTATCGATTAGTGGACTACCATCCAACTGATAAATAATCTGTGAAATGAAGATAGACTTATATACTTCTCATTCATTTAATTGGGATGATTCTTTACATTTGATTGCAATTGAAATCAATGCTCTGTCGATATAGTTAATAAGCGTGCTTGCGTAAATATGTTCGTATATGAAATACGAGATAGTTTGCGAGTTATGCAAAAGGTCACGTTATAGTTTACGTAAAGCTTTTTCTTATGCAATTGGATTTTTTTACGTAAGATGCGGTGATTTGGCATGCAGCTGAAAATATTGCGATTTTTGAGGAAGTTAAGAAAGAAAGAAAAGTAGGCGGGAGGAAAGATTATTGTAAAAAGATTGTAAAAAGCATTTCGCGTAGCTCGACTTTATCTATGCTGAATATAATTGAAAATTATACGACACTTATTTAACAAAAAGTCTAAAGAGGACAAAATAAAAATTGAAATTTCAATAGCGATAACGTGCTAGTAAATGAGATAATCCTCGAATATTTCATCGCGCGACTTGCCTATCTGCGTGTAATTGAGTTCCAACTTGTACCTACAACATCGAATGCGACGTTACGTGCATTATTGTACTCAACTGTGAAATGCTACTGAAATTTGTCAATCAATTTACGTATTTTATTATGAATGCAATTTTACTGTGACTTCTATGTTTTCTAAGAACAATTGCCTATAGTTATAATATTTATCATTATCTCGAGCTTGAGATAATATTTATATTTAGGTATTAAATATTTCCTTAGTCGCACATAAACATAGAATTGAATATAAACTTTGCTATTTTCTCTTTCTTCTTTCGGTCTTGTTAGTTTATTGATTTTTTAAATATTTCTAGTGATGTTTACTTATTAATTTATTAAAGTATTGATGATTTGATTATATTCTTATGTAGGAATTATATATCATGCTAAAGTAATATGAAACAAAAATTATTAATTTACTCCAAAACACATTGGATCACATAAAAGGTTTATCGTATATATTATATACTGCCCGACACGCAATGCAATTAATACGTTCACTGCCAGTCACTGAAAAAGCTTATTAGTTGGACAAATCTTATGAAAAAAATTACATATAAAATAGCAACAGAAATGTCCATGCATCGTACTTCTTGCAAATGTACGATCGATTTATTAAAAGCCTAACGTGCGTGTGTGTTGTCGTAGGACCATAAAGTCTCATTGTCAGTAGTGTTGGTGTTAATTTCCGCTTAATATATCAGCAAAAAAGAAAAATTAAACATTTATTCAGACGATATTTTTAAGCGGGTGCGTGCGTTCTCTACAGTTTTTCTTCGTCGATGATTATCTTCCACGTAGCTAGTGAAACTCTTTAGCATATTGCGAGCGGAAAATTTAACTCTGTCAAGTAACCTACTTTCTCATAGGAATGCAAAAAACGAAAAGCTTTCAAGTGTTTGTCTGCTAATTTGCGTGCTGTTGTGTATAATCGTACTACTCGTATGATTTATGCACTTGTTATTTTTGTCACTTCAAATACTCGTCTTTCGATGTTTGTTAAGCCATTAGAGAGCATGAGCTATCACCGAAGAACAGATTAACGATTGTAATTTACGATCAGCATTTATATACATATATTTACTTAGGAAAGTAAATTTAAGGATACTGTTATACACATATATGAATATAAGAAGTAAATTTTTTTTATTGTACGTGAATTTAGGAACGATCTATATTTGACTTTTTAATTATTAATAATCCTATATATGTACAATATTATACTTTTACAAAAGTTATATATAACATAAATTTTTTGAATCAGAAAATATACGAGTTAATCGAGAAATATACTTGATCATCTATCATTATATAATTTTGTTGTTGTTCCGATATTCATTACATCAAGACGTGCCATTTTGAGCTATTTTAATCAAATGACCATCAAATATTACACAGGGAATCGATTTCGCAGTGTACGTAAGAAAGTAACGGGAAATGATCCTCAAAATGAGTCTATCGTCGATAAATGTAATTTTCTTGTGCCTCTTAGTGAATTAGCTCTGGGAGAACTCGTTGAGAAACCTTATTACGAAATTCGATTCCGTCACGATGACCGGCGATCGAACGTTTCAGTCAAATCCGCGCAATTAACATTACGTTGCACGAACTTACATCCGAATATTTTTATAATTTCATACAAAAATGTAATTAATTGCGACAATGAGGGAAAACAGCAATCTAAATTACGGCACTATCTAAATTACGTTATTTAAATTATTTTTATTAATTCTCTTAAATTCATTATGTATACACATTTAAACAAATGTTCTCTTATTACAGATTTCCAAAAACTCGAGCGTGAGGCGCGGATATGTAGAAAACTACAACATCCAAATATTGGTAAGTCAGTTTTATTTTTACACCAATTTTATCACGATATCTATATTAAAGACGACAAAAAGCTATAACTGTTCCATCGCCGCATATTAATTTTACACTATTCTCAAATATAAGTTATTAGAAGATAATTAAATTGAATTACTAATCGATATTGATGGCGAGTCTTGGAACTTAATCTGAGTAGGCGTTCTAAAGTGAAATGATGAATAATCTGCACGTGACACGATCGTGGTATAAGTACGTGGCCGGCATCGCGAGTAGATATCGCCCACTTTAATCAGACGTGCATTCTCTGCATTGCTTATCTCCGATAATAAATTACTATGATCGCGTAAAAATTAAGTATTTTCATCGCGAAAGAGCATTTAATAAAATATTATGAATTGATTGAAACAATCACAATACTAACTTTATTTTAAATTTTATTTAAAAATATATTTAAATTGTATTATTAAAATTTTGTGGCATTTTCTATGAATTGTTTGCCGTGTTTCTCAGGCGAAATATATCATTGAATTTCTGTTGCAATTTTTTAATACAGTTTTTTGTAACAATTATATTGTATCGGTGCCGATAAATATCACGGAAATCGAATATAAGCGACACGCAATATTGGAATTCAATAAAGTAAAAGGGAGAAATGCATAAGCGAAACGACGAATGAAGGATGACTTCGGTTTTTTTTACATTTCAATACCTCTGATGTTCTTCAGTTTTGGTCATCATTACCTATATGTTTCGGTCATCATTTGTATCACTGGGTATTATATGTTTCTTATGATATTGGTAACATTAGGAAAAATCTTCCTTCTGAGAGATTGTAATATTCCATTATGTTTATTTTATTATCTTGAAGAAAAAGAAATATTAAAAAAATGTATACATGTATAAATATTACAAAAAATATTGCAAGTACCATTTTTTAATGAATGTCAATTTTATAATTTAAAGGAGAGAAAAGTATATACATGTATGGTGTGTGTGTGTGTGTACACACACACACACACACACTCACACATATGTATACTTTTCTCTTCTTTATACCATATATTATTTCTCCTTTTTATAAAAGTATTATTTAATAGAATAATAGTTTTAATTAAATATTTATGTGCAATTAAAATTTAAATGAAACTGATTTTTCAGTTGATGATTGATTCTTCATAAAGAACGAAACATGTTGGCGCGTGAAACTATTGTGACAGTTTTCTCAAGCAAATATTTGTTTTATTCTTATTCTAATATGCGAAATTTGCGTGCTGTCTTTTTCCGAGCCTTTGCAGACGTGTGTTATGTACTTGTATATAAATGAATCGTTGATCGATCGATACTTTCCGAGAGAACAGAAAATATTCATGCCGTGGCTGGTGGAATAAATATGGAGAGGGCGGTCAGATTACGTTTGGGATTATGGGATCTGCATGCATACTCTCAGCTGTTAAGACATAGAAGCTTGTTAACCATCTCTTAGTAGACTCTAATTTCCCGACTAACTTGACCGACATTTTTGACAAAAAAGTGCAAGAATTTCTGATAATCTCTTTTTTTACTTTTTTGGACGCGTATGCGATATCTACATTGTTTTCCATTATAAAGGTATGATTAATGTAAAGAAAATTATCAATAATATAATAACGTTTAACTTGTAAATGTCGTATCAGTTTTATAAATATTGTTTTTGCAAATTTTGCACAGAATTTGAACACTTTTTTATATTTAATTTGATAACATAATCTTAATTAAATTATACTTGATACACGCACGCATGCGCGTACACGCATCTATCAAAATGGCATATTGCTAAACATTTGTCAAAAATAATAAATCAATATAAAATAAATTAAGCCTAATTTCAAACCTTAATAAATTAATTGATTAGTGATAATTGAAAAGGCTAAACACATTTAATTTATTTATTATGTAAATGTAAGTCACGATTTTATTTTATTAGACAATTGTCGATTTGGAAAAATATTTAGGTTTTATGTTTTTAATTAGATTTCGCTTGTTTTTTGCAATGCAAAGTATAAAGAAAAAACAGTCTAAATCGAGCGGTAATAAGATTTTTTAATTAATAAATTTACAATATTATTTAAAGTATAAAAATATAATATCGAACGTTTCGGAACTCACAGGTCCTTCTTCAGATTTATAAAGATGTTTCGACGAGATAAACGCATAATTTTACGGTCAAAGCGACATGATGTGGTATTGTGCTGGTATGACAATTTGTTTGAAGAGAAATGATTCTCCTGTTTTTGTGTGAATGAGGAAATTGTGTCTAAATTGAGAAGTTCATTGTCGTCAATATAATATAAAGTAGTCAAAAGATAAGATAAAATGAGTCGTTTAAGTCAATTAATTATATTTATTTGGCAATTGAAATTGAATTTCTTACTTACAAAATGTATGAAAACAGGAGCATCATTACTTGTTCGTTTGATTCTGATCGCAAATGTTACAATGCCACAATGGTGACAGACGAATTCTTAAGGCATCGGAAACTATATTTATTTGTTTGACACTTTTTTAAATAGATAATTGTAAGGGGTATGTTAAGTTAGCACCCCAACTATAGTACTCAGGAGTTCTGATTAGAGTTCCCTATAGTTAATAACAAGAGTTCCGCTCAATAAACATTTTTTTTACATTTTTTAAAAATGGGGTGCTAACTTTTTATCGAATTTCGAGGTGAAATAGTTATGAGTGGCTTAATAGCTTCAATTTGCGATTGCCTAGAGTTCCTGATATGTAAAAAAAATTTTCGAATAAAAAAAAAAAAAATTAAAAATTTTTGAAAAATTAATTTTTAGATACAATAGTTCTGATGATAATTCCTGCTTCTTTTTGACGATACGAAGAGTTCTCTATGATTTTTAATGACATATGCGCTTAATAATCATTTTTTAATAATTTTTTAAAAATGGAGTGCTAACTTTTTAACGAAATTCAAGGTCGCATAGTTATGATCAGCTTAACAGAAGTATTTTGTGAATGCCTAGAGTTCTTGATACATAAAAAACATTTTTGAAGAATAATAAAGTTTAAACAAAATAGTAGAAATCTTTGAAAATTTTTTTGAGAGTACCGAGTAGTTCTGAGTAGCGTTTCTTATAGTTCTCGACGAGTTCTATCGAAAACTGTAAGGTGAAAAAACGATTGGACCAACGGTTTGGAAGATACAGCGACATTTGTCAGAAGATCAACAATTTTTAAGAGTATATCTCGGAAACCGTTGGTCCAATCGCTTTGAGCCCTGATACTTTTCGACAGAACTCGCCGAGAACTGTCCAGAACTCCAATCAGAACTACTCAGTACTCCCAAAAAATTTTCCGACGTGGGACTTGGAAAAAAATTTGAAGTAAAAATTTTTTGGAAGTACCGAGTAGTTCTGATCGGAGTTCTGGACAGTTCTCGGCGAGTTCTGTCGAAAAGTATCAGGGCTCAAAGCGATTGGACCAATGGTTTCCGAGATATACTCTAAAAATTGTTGATCTTCCGACAAATGTCGCTGTATCTTGCAAACCGTTGGTCCAATCGCTTTTTCACCTTACAGTTTTCGATAGAACTCGTCGAGTACTATAAGAAACGCTACTCAGAACTACTCGGTACTCTCAAAAAAATTTTCAAAGATTTCCACTATTTTTTTTAAACTTTATTATATTTCAAAAATGTTTTTTATGTATCAAGAACTCTAGGTATTCACAAAATAGTTCTGTTAAGCTGATCAGAACTATGCGACCTTGAATTTCGTTAAAAAGTTAGCACCCCATTGTTAAAAAATTATTAAAAAATGATTATTAAGCGCATATGTCATTAAAAATCATAGAGAACTCTTCGTATCGTCAAAAAGAAGCAGGAATTATCATCAGAACTATTGTATCTAAAAATTAATTTTTCAAAAATTTTTAATTTTTTTTTTATTCGAAAATTTTTTTTACATATCAGGAACTCTAGGCAATCGCAAATTGAAGCTATTAAGCCGCTCAGAACTTTTCCACCTCGAAATTCGATAAAAAGTTAGCACCCCATTTTTAAAAAATGTAAAAAAAATGTTTATTGAGCGGAACTCTTGTTATTAACTATAGGGAACTCTTCGTCTCGTCAAAAGGAAGTGGGAATTCTAATCAGAACTCCTGAGTACTATAGTTGGGGTGCTAACTTAACATACCCAACTGTAAGAGTCGTATATATAGACTATCCGTGTTTTTTTGAGAGTTAATGCCTTTGTTTTGCTTTTTAATGTGTAACATCTCTAAGAGAATTCTTTTATGATAATTCGTTTCAATATCTAAAATTAAGGCTTCTTCCCAATCAAAATCGTGATTATAATTGAATCTGTGGTCAGAAATGACGGAGAGTCTAGCTAGAAGAATTCTGTTTAATATTATTTCTATGTTCATTTATACGAGTTTTGAGTTGTCTTTTTGTTTGTCCCACAAACAATGCTGCTTTATTTGACTACTTTATATTACTTATATTGACGATAATGAATTTCTCAATTTAGATACAATTTTCATATTCACATAAAAACATCAGGAGAATCATTTCTCTTCAAACAAATCATCATACCAGCACAATACCACACCATGTCGCTTTGACCGTAAGATTATACGTTTATCTCATCAACATTAAAATGTCTTTATGAATCGCTGAAGAAGGACCTGTGAGTTTCGAAACGATATTATTTTTATACTTTTAGTAATATGGTAAATTAGAAATTTATTAATTAAAAAATCTTCTTATTACCACTCGATTTAGACCGTTAAAACTTTTACGTTTTCATTTATAAATTTTTATTTATTTATACAATATAATTATAATAATTTATTTATTTAGTTTAAAACCAGATTTCTCTAATTTCTCACTAATTGTAAGTTATACTAAGCGTGATATTTAAGTAGCGTTTCAAAATAGTGTAAAAATTTAAACGCCGTTTCATAGTTGTTCCATTCGTGGATAAACCGTCATTGCACACAATGTTGCATGTATGGTGTGA